GATGCTGATGCATGATAAAAATAACAATAATTGCATATCTTGGTATGTCGTAATTGGAAATATTGTTGCATTAATTTTTGGGTCTCAACACCATTGCAAGAGACAGACGAAGGGTGAAGAAGGGGGTAGTTTATGGCAAAGCAAACCCAACCGCCGACCTTCTCTTTCTATCTTTTTCAGTTTTACTTTCGAGTAAAACACACTAACAAACGAGTTTAGAATTATACTATGAACTAACGTTGTAAAGTTATCAGATCACTTATATGGTAAGACAAGTAAATCTTATGATAAACACTAATTGATTACGTAATAAAAATGGTAACTAATCTATTATAATATGTTAAAGCATGCTTATGTAAAAATAAAAAAATAATATCTCACTAGTAGTGCATATTACTATTTGAATCCCTAAGAAGTACCTATAAAAGGTAGTATTAATAACTTAAAAATATATGGCAAGTAATATCTTTTATAGAAAAAGTTTATTACAGACTATCACTGAACTAATCATTTTCCTTTTACATCTTTTTTTAATTTGAATATAAAACTACAATAGCAAATTTACAATCTATATTAATTAGACTAGCGATCAAACTCCAAAATGCTTGTTGAAACACATCCATCAGGTAAAAGGAATATCACTCAAATCTTTCAAATAAAAATGTTACTGTAGTTCGAAAGTGTGTCATAACTTTTGAGGAAAATAGTTAAAAGTTAAATGTATAAAGTACTCCAATCAAATGGGTCCTGTTTGTAAAGATAGTGTGTTGAGCTTTCTGATTTTGTTTAGCTGTCTGGATCATGTATTCATAATTGGCCAAATTACAATGAGCAATGAAGGAGTACAAAAAAAATAACATCACTTTCCCATTTTCTAATATTCCCCTGCACCCAGATATGAAAGACAGCCCATGTTAAGAGATACCAACGACAAATAGTTCATGAATTAACTTTTATGTCCATATCTTTCAGCTTTTTATGTTTGAAAAGAGAGGAACAGTAAGTACTATGTTCATTGTATAACACCTAATTCCTGGCTACTGACATCTAATGGAGTAATTCTTATTTACGAAACAAGTCTATAAAGGGGAACACTGCATGTTTTTTTTGCATATGATAAACTACTCGAAACCTGATTATCCATACAGTTAAACAAATACTGACGAACAATTATTTTACATTGTTTTTACCCCTTTCGGTTTTCACTTCTTCCTCCTGTTCATGCAGTGTTTTCGTCTTCTAGATATTGTGCTTTAGATTGGGAAAACATTTCACCATCTATCATATCGTAAGACTTGTTTTACATATCATATCATGTGTAATTGTTTCTGTCTTTTTACTTAATGTTTCTGAGTTTACTATAATCTACTGCAACAAATTTTCATCAGAAGGGGCTAAAAATGTTAATAATCTCATTGTTTTTTAACCTCTGCTAGAGGCTACAGAATTCATGCAAGGTGTAGCCAATGGAAAGACGGCCAAAGCAAAGTGGTGAAAGAAAGACAATTGAGAATGAAGAGCTTGTCAAATACATGTCAAGTTTGCCAAGTTACCTGGAAAAGGGGGGAAATCTGCAGGAGAAAGCTTTCAGTGTTGGCGTCCTAGATTGGCGTTTTCTTGAAAAATGGCGACACGAACATGTAAAAGATCCTTGTAGAACTAGTGGTTGTTCACCATCCACCAGCAATACCTTGTCAATTTCCTCAATGGAGGGATCTTCATCAAATTCTAGCAGAGCCAGAAGCTGCTCTCCTGCTCGTCGGAGGATTCATCGTCCTACATCACAATCTTATTATGCATCACCACCTAGAGGTAGTCGTCTTTGTTAGATTGTCTCACATTGATTAAAGGAATGGGTTGTTGTCTCCTTTCCTTAATGAGTTTGGACAATCCTCATCTCATGAGCTAGCTTTTGGGGTTGAGTTATACTCAAGTTCCAATTTCTTAACAGTCTTGATGTCAAATCCTTTCCAGGAAGTTATGTACAGTTGCAAAACCGAAAACCTGGCGTAGTTAAATCCCCGGAGATTGAGCAACTTGTCAGCAGGACATATCAGTCTTTTGATGAGTATCCACAAAGAAATATGCAAGAACTCGGCAATGCTCTACTCCCGCGGAGGACTCCTCATGTTAGGAGATCACTTGATGTAGAGACTGAGACGAGAACATCACGTTCCAAGGGAAAGATGAAGATCCAAGATAGAGAATGTTTATCGAAAGGAGATTTTGATTGCAGAGAGAAACATAAATCAGATGTCCTTCAAGTACCAGAACCTGGCCAAGAAACTAACAGCTGCACAACTTTCTGCCCACTTGATTCAGTAATGAGAGACCAGAGCACAGTGAAATCAAGCAGACGGAGCTTTTCTTGTGGATTTATTTCTGCGTTCTACCATGGACAGTCCTCTTCAGATATCTCTAGTTACAGCACCCTTCCTCGTGATGCTGATGAGTCGAAGACGGGACAAGCGAGTCCAATAGATGCAAAGGATAGTTGCCCTTCATCTAAGACAATTCAACCTTCAACATATTCAGGAAAAAAATTGTCCAGCCCACCTGGAACCAATTCCAAACAAGAGAAGAAATCAACTGTGATGCTTTACAATCCAACTACACTTAATTCCGCAGAATCAACAAAAGTCAGAAATTCCTCTCCAACTCGTCGATTTGGCATGGCAATGGGAAGGATTGGCCAGATTTCAGGTATAAAAGATATGATCACTGGATCACAAGGTGTCAAATGGCTTGCAGAACAATCTAGTCCAAATAAAACTCAATGTTCGTCCTCACTTGATACAGGCTGTGATAAATCAGACATCACTGGCCGAGCCAGGACTAGTCCCCTGAGAAGGTTGCTTGATCCACTGCTGAAGCCAAAGACAGGCAACTCTGATCACGTTAAATCTTCAACAAGGCGTGGTGAATCTCCTACGAAACGCTCATTGAAAGTCAAATTGGATTTGAAGGGCTGTAAAACAATTGATATCGACGATCCACGTTCTAATGGCACATTTGTACCATCAAGATTGCAAGCTCTCCTCCAAGTAGCTGTGAAAAATGGTCTTCCTCTATTCACATTTGCAGTTGACAATGAAGTTGACATTTTAGCAGCCACAATGAAGAAACTTAATCCGAATTTGAAGGATTACAGTTGCTGGATTTATACTTTCTTCACCGTTCGTGAAACAAAGAAAAAGAGTGGAAATTGGTTAAATCAAGTAGCAAAAGACAAAAGTCATGGAATTATGCCTAATATCGTTGGAAAGATGAAGGTTTCTGATGTTCCATTCTCTGAATTGAATAGCCAGAAACTTGACTCACAGTTTAGGAAGAGGGAGTTTGTTTTGTTTGCTACAGATCAGAAACCATCTGACCTTCAGCCAAACGATGAGCTTGCAGCTATTGTTGTCAAATTACCCAATAGAAGCACCACTTGTCCTAATGGAAGTGATCATCAGAATAGCAACTGCAATAATATTTCAACTTCAGGTCTAACAAATCCTTTTGAAGATCTTAACATGACAGTTATCCTTCCTGGTGGTGCACATAGCGTACCAAGTAAAGGCGAGCCTTCTTCACTGATTAACCGATGGAAGTCAGGTGGAACGTGTGATTGTGGTGGCTGGGATTTGGGCTGCAAATTAAGGCTACTTGTGAATCACACTAGGATATCCAGTTGTTCCAAACCCGAACTTACTGCTGCAAGATTTGAACTTTTATCCCAGGTTATTATCTACATAACTACAGATTATCTAACTCAATTTTTACAGTAATTTCCAATGTCTAATACACCATTGTGAAATGATTTTGTTCTTGTTTGGCAGGGGGAAGCATGGGACAGTAAGCCCGTCTTCAGCTTGTCCGCATTCAAGGATGGCATATTTTCAGTTGAATTCAGTTCTTCACTGAAGGTTCTACAAGCATTCTCCATTTGTATAGCAGTTTTAAATGGTAGAAATGAAGAAATCTTCCATATGCAAACTTGATTGCTGAAAAATTCTTCGGAAGTAATCAGTAGATCCAGAGGGTCTTGCCAATTTGTCTCAATTCCTTCACTTGGAAAGGTGAAAGTGACTTGCTATACCAAGCATGGTGAAACATCAAACCAAAGGCTATACAGTTTTTGCTTAACTATAGCTCAGCTTGTAAAAAGTAACGATGAACAGGTTAAATATCAGTCAGTGATTGATAAAGTGAATTGCCATGAATAAGGCAAGCTCATGACCGAATGAAGCAATTGTAATTTGGTGTTGCAAGTGTAGAGGAATAAGTATTACTAAGGTGTATCAGCATATGAATATACAGAAGATATTTCAATATTCCACTACTTCTTGATAGCCTTAGTTATAGCATCCAAAGCCAACAAGGGATGTTTATACTTAGACCACATTAATTAATTACGGTTAAATAGGAGTATATGAATAAAAATATACATTACTTGACAATGGTTTAGTTATAAAGGTGTACGTAAAATAAACGTCATTTGTTCTTTCATTTGCTGTAAAAACTACATACCATTAATTCTTTTTTTCCTTTACCACATCCTACCCGCAAATGTTTTAGGTAGTTGGACAATTAACCATGCTCTACTCTAAAATTCATAGCAAAACATAATAACAACAACAACAACAACTTGATATACACATTGTATTAAAAAAGAACTTAAGTCGCTGTTCCTTAGAATTAGAGTAACTATACTTGATATACACATTGTATGAAAAAAAAACTTATCCACACTCATATTTGCACCAAACAAGTAAATGTAAGATATATATTTTGCATAGAAATTTTTAGCATCTAATATTAGCTATACGAAATGTATTTGCGTTAGTTATGTTAAGTTATTTAGTTTACATAAATATCAGATACTAATAAATATATTTCTTTGATCATATATGGATAAAGAAAGTGTTCTCATGGGATAAGAGCGACAACGTTAATTTATTCCGAAAGAATAGAAAAGGTAGCTCTTGGGTCAAAAAACGGTCTTTTGTTTCTTCCATGTTTCTCTGCTTCTTCTCCCCTGTCCCAATCGAAAGAAACAGAAAACTCCCTCTCTTCTTTCCTTTGGGATAAATAAATAAATAAATAAAATAAATATAATGTAGGCTGTAGCAGTTTAGATTCTTGATCATTGCTAAGAATGACAGAGCTTATCTGTTCTCAGTAGCAAAAAAGAAACACCATTAACGCCCCTTGCATTGCATTTCTCTTTGCAGAAAAATCGTTTGGGCCGCCTTATTCGCTTGCTCACATTATGTTTTGAGAGCAATTATTTGAATATTGATTTTGAAACACATCATTATAATCACTCTTCTTCCTTTTTTTTGTCCCAAAATTTTCCCATATTCGTTTGTTATAGGTGAGAAAAGGGACTTTTAGAGGAGAAAAGTTGTCACCGATTACACATATTTGTGACCCCTTTATCTCCCTAAAGGTCTTTTTTTCTTTTCTTAAATTTAATAAATCTGAATTCTTGAAAAATTTATGCAATGGGTGCACGTTGTTCCAATTTGTGTTTCTGTTTATGGCCTTCAAACATCAAGTCCCATGATCTGTATACCTCTGATATCGGTAAGCTCTTTCATTCTATTGATAATGTGGGACTTTCAAGAATCGATCTTAATTTTGTTGTTGGCATTGTTTGTGTGATTCAGAAAAATGGGCGGAGAATGAGCAGCTGAATTTGCCAGCTTTTAGAGAATATGGTTTGGAGGAGCTGAAGGCTGCCACCTCAACTTTCTCCATTAATAATATAGTTTCAGAACATGGAGAGAAAGCCCCTAACGTTGTGTTTAAAGGTCAGCTTGATGGTAATGGCCGTTGGATTGCTATCAAGCGCTTCCACTCGTCTGCATGGCCTGATTCTCGCCAATTCTTAGTCAGTATTCTCTTTTCATATCTTGTTTCATTCAACTTGTAAAGCATTTGGGCAATTGTTTGGTCATATTATGGCTTTGGGTAAATAATGCTAAATTATGTAACCATCTCAAGCTGTTAGAGGGGGTACAATTTAATTTACTTAATTATGTCTTCAACACGCCCCTTACCTGCCGGGCTGATTTTTTCGTAAGCCAATCATGTGAAAGTTCTTTTTGATAAAGGTAAGTGTGAGACTTGAACCTGTAGTAATCTTTTTCTATCCTGTACCATATTTAAATGTGGAACCAACACATCTAAAAGTTTAAGCTGTTAGAGAGGATACGCTTTTATTCACGTAATTATGTCTTCAACAACAAGAATGTGATGTATACTATAGTATATTGATTTGGAAATTGGCTATTCATTGTTAAGGATGAAGCGAAAGCAGTGGGGCAGCTAAGGAGTAAGCGGTTGGCTAATTTGTTAGGGTGTTGCTGTGAAGGAGATGAGAGATTACTAGTGGCTGAATTTATGCCTCATGAAACATTATCCAAGCGTTTATTCCATTGTAAGTTTTGCTCATTTTCTTTTCCGGATTTTGTGACCGATAAGATAGAGAGAAAGCAAATGAATATCATTTATATCCATTCTCATAGTACATGTCTACTTAAGCAATCACAAGATCTCTATCTAATGGGACTTGAAACTTGCAGTATCATGCCATAACAAGATTTTCTTTCGATATAATTGCCTAACTGTAGATTATGTTGGTTCAATTGATTTAGGGGATAACCAACCATTGAAATGGGCGATGAGGTTGAGAGTTGCTTTGTATTTAGCACAAGCATTAGACTACTGCAGTAGTAAAGGGAGAGAACTATATCATGACCTAAACTCTTACAGAGTTTTGTTCGATCAAGTAAATTTTCTTTTAATCTTTACCCTACACGTATAGCTATCTTCTGTACTTCATTGTTCTTACTACGAGTCAGCACATGACAGGATTGTGATCCAAGGCTATCATGTTTTGGCTTAATGAAAAACAGTAGGGATGGCAAGAGTTATAGTACAAACTTGGCCTTCACACCGCCGGAGTATTTAAAGACAGGTATCGATATCTCAGCTGCTATCAAGTTTTGAAGTGTCACCTGTTAAATTCTAGGTTCCTTGGAATTCAAGGGCCCTATATCAATATGTTTCAAAGTCACCACCAAAATTGTGAAACAACTTAAATTTTGGTCATTGTCAAATAGCTCTCATAATGAAATAGAAATCTCTCTTTTCTCTTGGTTTCTATTTATAACATGAAGAAGTTTAATACTAGTCGTATAAGTGACTAAACTCAACATGTGTTTATCAAAGCAATTGAAGATAATCCATGCATCTTTTTCAATGCAGTTATTTGATTCAATGTTTTAACGTGATTGTAATGGCAGGTAAGGTGACCCCAGAGAGTGTAGTTTACAGTTTTGGCGCCCTGTTGCTTGATCTTCTTAGCGGGAAGCATATTCCTCCTAGCCACGTAAGTGCTTGGTTTTGTTTGTTTTACCTGTTCCAAAATTTAACAAACAGAAAAGGATATTGTTCTTGATAACTGCTTCCTATGCACAATAAGATATTTATGATGATAAACACTAAGAGTTGAGTTTGAAGTTATAACTTTCACGAAACTCTGAATATATATATATATGTTATTCTTCGATTTCAGTTACTTCTCCTAAACATGCTCTGTTGATTTTTGAACTACAACATGTTTATTCAATCATTCCCTCAAACCTAAATAGTTTCAAAATTGATTATGCAGGCACTTGACCTTATACGGGGAAAGAATTTTCTGATGCTTATGGATTCTTGCTTGGAAGGTCACTTCTCAAATGACGATGGGACTGAGTTAGTACAACTTGCTTCACGTTGTTTGCAACACGAACCTCATGACAGGCCAAATGTGAAATCTCTTCTTACCACTCTAACATCTCTTCAGAAAGAAAAAGATGTACGTATAATAATTACTCCTTTGGTATGTTGTAATGTAATATAAAAACATAGGGATAAAAATGACATGTTATTTGACGATCTGCAGGCTCCATCAAACGTTCTCATGAGTATTGCTCGTGAAACCACCTCACCCTCCCAAGTACCTTTAACACCTCTTGGTGAGGCTTGTTCGAGATTAGACTTAACTGCCATACATGATATTTTAGAAAAAGCTGGATACAAAGAGGACGAGGGCATCGCTAATGAGGTCAGGAAAAGGCAATTTTCCCTTTTTGTCCATGTTTAACTTGCTAAAGTGAACATGTCAGTCTCTCATGTCTAGCAAATTAGACTGTGACAGCAGATCCCATTATGTGAAACTCTTTTTCCTTTTGCAGCTTTCATTTCAGATGTGGGCTAATCAAATACAAGAAACCCTCAACTCTAGGAAGTCTGGCGATTCTGCTTTTCGAGATAAAAATTTTACTATTGCAATCAAATCTTACACAGAGGTAAATTAGAAACGCATAAGGCATGCACCTCTCCTCTTTTCAAAATTTATCATATGACCTATTAGCTAGGGATCATGTTTTAGTCATGTTAATACGTTTATTTTAGTCTTGCTATGCCAGTAGAAAATATTATTGGTCTAAGATGAGCTTAAGTAGAGCTACATGGTCGGTCAGTGAGGATTAATATAGCCAACCCCGACTTGTTTTGGATTGAGGTGTATATAGCTGCCATCTAAAATTGAGTATTGATCAAACAGCTTGTTTTCGTTTGCACTGCAGTTTCTTGAGGGAGGAAATGTTAAGTCCCCAACTGTGCTGGCAAGGCGCTCGTTATGTTATCTAATGAGTGACAAGCCACAAGAAGCTCTTGCAGATGCAATGCAAGCACAAGTACAATTTTCCAATTGGCCAACTGCTTTCTATCTTCAAGCAGCTGCACTCTTCACCCTCGGAATGGACTCAGATGCCCGAGAAACACTCAAAGATGGCTCCTCCTTAGATTTCAGAAGAATGAGACAGTAAATATGAATATAGTTCTACACAAAAAAGTCATTGTACATATCACCTTTCATACATGAATCATCAATATCAGCACACAAGTTTTCTTCATAACATCCATTAGAGCACAGGTGATTAATTTCTCATTCTGCTTCTTCTATTTGGGAGAGCTGGTGTATCTCTACTTTTGGTAGTTATTGTACGAGTTTCAAAGACAAAAAAGGAAAAATTAAACATATAAAGCAACGGAACCATCATAGTATTTCTTTTAACTCCTCCGAAAGGAAGGATGACAATTTGATCATTTACCCATGTAATTGTCACCACTGACTATTGCAACTGCAACCAAGACTTATGCACTACAAGATATTAATGTCAGCACCTCAGTTATAGGTAAACAGCCTAAAGTGTTTCCTGACCCAACCTGTAAACAGTAAAAGAAAATAGATATTGGACCTAATTCAACCCTAAACTTATGAGGTGATGATTGCCCAAAACCATATAAGGAGACAACATCGCATACCCTCAACCAATGTGAGATATTATAACATCAGCTATGGTACCAGCAAAGTTACACATTGACACAAACTCTCTATCCACTTCGCAATGCCCAAGCTGCACGGAGACAACAATATGTCAACTTGAAGAAGTACATATATGCTACTCTAAAACACAGACTGATCTGTACTAGCAAGCATCAAAATTGTTTTTGAACTAGTATTATCTCCACAACTGTAATAAACTTATCGAGAAGTCTGTAAGGAAATCCGAGAAATTCCAGAAGTTAGTTTCATGGTCTCAAGTCTCAACACCTCAGTATGGTGCAAACCCAGTTTCTCAAAACTCAAACAAACACCATAATATTGTTCCAGTTGCTTGAGAACTGCTTCTCCAAACACATGCTTTGCCAGTGCTTCTAGACTCGTGGTATGGCAAGCTAATTTACACTTCTGGGGGGAAGTATGAAACCAGTTGAATATAAAAAATATAAAGGATCAGAAGTTCAGAACTTTCAAAAGTCAACTGAAATCCACAATATCATTTTACAGTATGATCAAATATAAAAGAACCCTCCACAAACGACTTGCAGTTTTTGAAACGCAGAGAACTCACAGGGGGACACAGGCTAAATATTTCGGAAGCAAGGTTCATTGATTGGAACACACTTAGAACAGGAAGCATGACCACACAACTAAGCACCATGAAATATTTGTACAGAAAGTGCAATACTGAAATATAACAGAATACGCTGCATCATCACCACAGCTTAATTTTGAACATGGATACAGATGAGATTTCAACATGGATATGGAGTTCGCTCCTAGCTGGTAAGAATTCTTTCCTTGTGAAGGGTTTGGCGAACAAATAAGTCACTGTTCCTCTTTGTCATCTTCCATTCCCAGTTACAAGTCATTTTCTCAAATAATCATCGTGAAGGAACGCTATTGAGAAGCACATGACATTTATCAAAATCCTCCATACCTTGGATATAACTACAACAACAACAACAACAACGACCCTGTGTATTCTCACAAGTGGGGTCTGGGGAGGGTGACATGTACACAGCCTTACCCCAACCCTTGGATATAATAACGGCTGAAAATTCCTCAGCCCAAATATACCTCTACATCATAAATCCCCCAGGGTTGAGTTGTTAGTGATGTCAATCAAAACAAGTACAGCCGGGATGATCTCAAACAAACTTCAGGGGAATATTTTGAAGTGAAAAAGCCATGAAACGACAAAGGCAAAAATCATGCATGCAAGCAGGAAATTTATGACGCGTCGCCCATGCCAGAATCTTCGGGTTTCAGAAATGACTACAGGTGCATTTGATACTCCCACGGTGGTTATTGTAGCATTGGTGGCTTCATTTGCCTGCCCTCCAGTAACGTTCAGTGCTGTCGCACCACAGATTTCACAAATGCTGGATCATAGAGAGAAGATAAGTCAAGTTACATAGGGAGGGACTACATACACTTTGCTTTGTGATTGCAGATGTTTCAGGTTGGCTTATAAACCAATTACTACATACTAAAATCGAAGCTAAAGTCTCAGAAGAGAGATGACATAGCAGAAAAGGTACTCTCTGGCCTCCGCACCTATCCTTCCTCACCAACATCAGTGGCGAAGCTAGGAATTTTCCCAAAGGTATTCAAATTTGAAAGAAGTGAAAAAAAATTCCCGACAAAGGGTGTTCAATATGTGTTATATACCTCTAAAACATAATATTTTACCTATATACGCAGTGTAATTTTTCGATGAAGGGTGGTCAGTTGACCACCCTTGTGACCATGTGGCTTCGCCACTGACCAACATGCCACTGCATATACATTGATGCACCAAGAAAAATGTGCAGCACTCCCACCCCTCCTAAATGAAACCATATAACAGCCTTGGATTTCCAATGTGTTTAATGGAAAATAAGCAACACGGCACAGATAACTCATTGGAAGCAATTGTCTTTTGTCATAGTAGCTCAAAAGGCAGGTAATGAAACATGACGATAAAACAGAACTATAGGTGCAGAGACAGGTGAAACATTTTATGTGAAAAGAACATGCAAAGAGTTCAACACTTTTAGGATGACGCATAAGAGGAAATGACAAAACTAATAGCTCAAATAGTTTTTTTCTTGTAAATATGTGCTTTATAAACAAACCAGGCCATAGACGCAGGATATACTTTTCAAAATCATTTATTTTCTATATCCAGTCTTCCATGTCATTTATCAACCACAGGCAAAAATATCAGGATCTAGTTTAAGATGTGCTGGAGTCTGAAGATACTAAATTAGGACCAGTGAGATACTATAAATTATGAGAACTTCTGTAACTTCAACAAATAAGTACTACAATTGATAACACCAGTATCAATCAAAATTTAGTGCTTTGAAGAACCAATATGTTTGATACCCAGCATGCAAGGAGAACAATAATTTTCAACCTGCTCAAGAAACCAAAAACAATGTTCCTTGGACGCTCAACAAAGAAAGAAAGAAACCTGAGTGCATCTATCATTAAGTACCTCAAAGAACATAAACAAAAACGGAATCTTGGTTGTCTCAAACAAAGAGGAGTAAACCACAGAATAACCAAACCACTAGATGACTTTACTTCACGTTCTCCAAATTTAACCTTAAAGTAGGCAAACTATGCCACAGACCATCTTAAAATTGTACATTGTTGTACAATGACGCCATAGGAAATTCTGTGAACACACCCGAGACGAAGGAACTAACTGTGGAAAGAGCTCTAAACTAGAAGAGAGAGTTGTATGCGGATATCACTTAAGAAATGCTTATCAAGAAAAAGGGTACTCCAGCAATTCTAAAGGGTAGAAGTTAATCTTCCACATGATTCATTTCGCAATTCTAATGACACAAAAGTAGCCTATAGCATTTCTGCATTCATAGAAACATACTATAATCATGAAGCGTAAAGATCACACTGTTATTAACTTATACGAGACAAGTTAATAAAAACAGGAACTAGAACAAGGGAATACAGAGCCATTAAAGTAGGGGGAACTTACGTGTTTCCCTTGATTTTGAACCAAGTTTCAGCACAGTGCTTGTGAGCAGCAGCCAAATCACCTTTGCAAGAACAGCCCAATTCAATTGCCATTCCTCCAGAGGGTTCTAAGAGTTGGTCATCATCACCAATGCCACCACATTTCAACAAACACAAATGACAAATTCTACAACTTTTCTCTTCTTTATTATGCACCTTCAACTCCAATTCACCACTCTCCAAATCAATCTCTTCATCAGCCACTAAACCACAAGCCCCTGATCTCTTGCTCTGCTCACAATTGACCAAATCGCCCTCAGTCCTCATAGAGGACCCACATTCCTCGAAACGGTAGGACCCACCTGCCACAGAGCCTAAAGGGGAGTGCCAAGACTGGTCGGAATCAGAATCAGAGAACCGGAAGCTACCATCAGTAGTCGTCTCGCTGCTCCCTGCCATAGATGGTCTCCTTCTCCGGCGCCGGCGCCGTTGACGGCGACGATGACGGCGAATATTAGCATTGTCACCACTGCCATTTGCCTCTATGTCAGCGATAGCAGTGTCAAAAGCTGACATTTTTTAGTACCCTAAAAACTGTCTTTTTTAACTCACAGATTGAGCAAAAGAAGAAAATTACTTGAAAGCACTTAAAAGGGGTTCATCAAAAGTTCAAGATTTGAAGCAAAAAGACTTAATAGGACTACTTTTTGGTGCTCTTTCATTTCTTTCTTTTGCTTTCTTCTTTTTTCCAAATGTAACTGTTAATTGCAATGTGTATATGTAGGAGTGTCAGTTGGAAGCAGACGCAAAGGGGGAAAGACTTATGTACAGTTGTTTATTTCCTGTGGTGCAGAAACGACATAATAATGAAAGAGGAGGGACACCCTCTCCCCCTCTCTCCACATTCTCAATTTCTTTCTATCAACAGTAACTTAATTTCGTATGTATTCTGATTTTCCTGTTCTTTTTTCTCTAGTTTATTGAAATTAAAGTTTCAGCCCTTTAAGTTTCTAACATTACAGTTTTTGTGACTGATAAATGAATGTAGGATATGAATAGATTTGACACTCATGTACTAAGATGTGAAGGAATTATTTGGATATTCAGATTCAGAAAAAAACTTGATTTAAAAATACATGAAATCCACGTGCATCCTCAATACAATTAGTCATTGTGGAATTAATAAAAAGATGGTGAAAAAATATGTAATTGACATCATTTATAGGCTAATCCATTCTTATTATCATGAGAAAATGGAAAGAATCGAAGATGCTACCATCGAGGTTAGTGTAAGAAAGACTTTTGCGGTAAGAGTAATGTGTCCCACTTAACAGATGAAGCTGTTAGAAAAAATTAACATGTGCTGAGAAGAGAAGGATAAAGAAACTCCTCAATGAAACATGCACCTTCATTACAAAGTCAAAGTAACGATGTTATTACCACATGAGCAAAAATACACTTTGACGGAAGGGGGCTAAGCCTGACCTTCCATTACATATGATAATGACCAAAAAAATATATAAGGCTGATGTACACGATAACTGAAGCTAATGAGATGTAATCTGATGTGGTAATAAAGATCATGGTGGCTCAAAAATCACCGCATTTGATCTTGACTCTGAAGGAAGGAAGTTGTCATCTATCCGTATTCAATAATCCTTTGATTTACCTAAGTATCTTGTCAAAGTATGTGTAAATATATATTTCATCTAACTAGTAGCTCAAAGAAGCCATTTTATCTGCAACTTGATTGGCTTCCCTGAAGCAATGTTTAATGAATAAACTATGACTGGCCACCAAATGTCTAATCTCAGCCACAGTTTCTTTCATCCTCCATGGAATAGACCAGGATGCATTTATACAGATGCAGAGAGTCAGTTTCTCCAATAATCAAGCCATGACCATGCTAATGCACCACTTCAGTCCAAACAGAAGCGCCTTCGCCTCAGCCACATTACTAGTACATGTACATGGTCCCAAAGATAAAGCATATGCCATCAAAGCTTTCCCCAGGCTGTCCCTGACTACCCCACCAAGCAGTAATATACTATTCCGAAAGTAAAAAGGAACTCTACATAAATATTTATTAGAAGACGGCACTAATCTACGATCCTTCCCTTTCCTTGATGTTACACAAAATACACAATGAGGGGTAGTACAAGAAATAGGAAGAGATGAAAAAGAACGATTGGAAAAACTTGGTGACCTAGAGCAAATCTTTCTTTTCTTTTTCTCTCACGAAGCTGGGACTTCAAAGGAGTGAAATATTAGGGTGCAGCTGCAGCAAATAAAAATATCTATTATAAATATTAGGGTGCAGCTGCAGCAAATAAAAATATCTATTATTAAAAACTAAAAAGAGCTAGTTTCTGAAATGAGTCCACATTTCTATCGGTTCTTTCTAAAATAAGGCAGACTAGGTGCTATAACTTCATGACAGAAGGCAACAGACTGAAGCTCCACTGAATGCTACTTCATTGACAAGATGCCACCACAAACAAAAAGAAGTTGCAACGACCTTGAAGATTCCAATGCTAGAGCAGTTAATGAGATCAAGGAAACTGCCTCAAGCAGCTTCAACATCTGAATTTGGGGTACTTTCTTCAGCTTTCTTTACTTGATCAAGACTTCCTTCAGCTTTCTTGAAATTTGCAATGTACTTCCAGCACCTCTTATGTACACCACTCATTTTCTTGGGTGCGTCAGCAATTGGTAAACCTGAACGGAAGACTGTTTTAATAACTTGCAGAAGACGAACATTGACGACAGCAATATTAGTAGTAAGTAAATGGGAATGATATTTAAGTTCATACAAATATCTGGGAAGACTTGGAGAGACAACAAAACGAAACTAAAGAAAAATCATCACTTGGAAGTGGGACGGTCAGATTAGAACTAGCAGTCTGTCGTGTAATGGAATTTAAATAGCCCTCTTGGGACTAATTTCCTCTTAGTCCTTTGTTCCATATTTTACTGGTAAAGCTGGATGCAAGATGAACCATTGAGCTGTTAGACTGCATATACCAGCAAAACAGGCAATCAACTAGCGGTCCTAGCGATAAGAATATAACAGGAGTTCCTCTTTCTTTCTTTCCACCCCTATTTCTAAAAAACTCCTATGCCAGAAACCGAAGAGATGCATCCACGAAAAGAAATCCAAAACCATCCCATGGATCATACGTAAAATGAGTAAGATCTAAAAGTATGACCATAATTTATCTAACAAGCAGTTATTACTTGAGTTGGGTGCAAATCTTCTTTTCAAACTGACACCCCAAAACTTTTTCTGTTACCTCTTCATCACTTCATGCAATAATAATTTCACTTAAAAGATCTCCCAAACCCCCATCCCAAAATATAAAATAAAAACTTCATCAGAAAGAATCTAGAGAACAGTTTTTTTACCACAGCTTTTACACTTACTTCCTTACTAATTACTATGACCTACTTCTCTCCCACTACAGCCCAGACAGAAAAAAGCTGTTAGCTTTGAACTACCAGGGAAAAGGATTAGTGTTACCCCATTACACAGCAACAATTTATCATCACTCCACAAATAATATACCTCTCTCCGAGCGAACAATTGTATACAATTTTTAATATCTGAAAGTTAAGCTTCTAACCTTTAGAGTTAAGATGAGTCGTGCTACATATGGTGGAGCCATACAGTGTTTAGACATTGTATTTGGTTTTAAGAATTCTAATTGAGTATTGTCAGACTCAGCATTAACAAATGGCAGTATACCACAATCCACCCAAGGGTTCATTAAGATGCATCCACATATCTTCTTCTGATAACATATGCAAAACTATGTACATAGATATTTTTCTTTTCGCCACAGGTAAAGAATTAGCTATTCTCAATATTGCTCAAATAATTGGAGCTGGGCCCTGCTTAAGCAAGAGAGCCTTATTTTTTTCCTTTTTTTATAATGTAAAAGGAGAACCAAGACAGGACAAAGATTTTTATTTTTTTCAATTTCTATCTCAATATGTCAAGCAATAAGAAGTGATATACATCCGTTTCTTTTGATAAGATGTAATACAGCTCAAGGCATTCACATTCACCATATTTGGTCCTCTGTGTTCCTTCGTCATCCACTTCCTAATAAGCTCTTAAGTTTTTGCTAAAACTCACATGAAATTCAAAAATCCAGATAGAAAAGATCCCTGCTTTTCATTTACTAAACTCCATTTTGATAACCTTCATTTGTTAAACTCCATAAAACTGATACTCCCTCCGTCCCAAAAAGGATGATACTTTTTTGGATTTCGAAAGTCAAACTAGTTGTTCTTTGACCATGACTTATTCATATACCTTTTAAATATTTTATATTGTCAATTATTGTGACTTATAGTACTTTTTATGTAGTTTCGAAATATATAAATTTTATTTAAAAAATTTGACGGTCTATTTCCGAATTCATAGTCAAAGTTAAGAAGTTTAACTCTCGAAATTCGAAAAATGTCATCCTTTTTGGGATAGAAGGAGTACTTGTCATCGACTAGATATTTGTAAAATGTAGGTAAAGCATCATACTCTCAGAAGAAAAAGGCTAATACAAGAATTCTTGTGCGATACAAGCTCAATGTCCACTCACTCTTCAAAAAGACTTGTCAAAAATCCAACTCAACAGCATGACTACCAGATAAGATGACAGAAAAAGAAGAATATACGAGCCAGTTTTTGCATTAAAAAAGCGCCAATAAGATGCTACAACTGATGCGTGAAAAACAAGAAAGAAATCTCAGTTTGTTGATAAATAGCAGAGAGCAACATCTAATATCATAGCTAAAATATATAACAAACCAAGATGATTCCTGTTTGAGGGAGGGGATTTTTTATAGAAAGCATATTCCAGACAGAGAGTTGAAGATATAAGTGAAGCTATTAACAATATGGTAAAGTTATCAACTGAGTATGCTTGTTACCGGCTAATCCATGTAACACAAATATGAAAACTAAACCCTGAGAACAAGCTGGATGTTTGCATTAAAGATCATAATTTTACAGGTCATAAAAAAAAATACTCCTCATTCCCAAATCAGTTGCTATGTAAATCCTCTATATCCATTCTGCTCTATTGAGATGTATTTCATTCCCTTACTAAATAATACTATGTTTTTTTAAGGCAAATAGGTGTTCTCTAGGTCTCCCACTTATCCTACACGGATAAGTTGCATAATAACAGTTTCACTTGTTATCGCCTGCAGTTTGCAGATCATTATTGTTTGACATAAGGCATAGAAAGTTTGCGACAAATTTTAAACACTTGAGATCATCCAAATGAGGAATTCAGAGCTCAACACTTGTAATTAAAAGCCAAAAGAATGCAATATTCAATATATAATGCTCAAGAAACAGTAAATCCATGACTCACCATCTTTATAAGCGAGTCCCCAAGCCTTACCATGTCTACCATCCTGCAAATACAAAATGAAACCTAATTACAAAAATATACATAAACCCTTAAACCCTAGAAAGTAAACCCAAATGACAGCTATTACTTCTCCAGAAAAAGGAGAGGTACCTTATAAAGATTGATTTTTGTAATTTCATAGGAGACACCGGTCCAATGAGTCTTGGCCATGTGATAACCGATACCCCAATTAGGCAGAAACTGAGCCACCTCAAAAAGATTCTTCTTCTTCTTCCGCTTGGGCTTCTTAGGTCCATCGGCCGACGACGTCGTTGGAGGATTGTTAGTAGGGGTCGCAGTGCTCAGATTTCTGAGGAAACTGAAAGAGAGCCTGAAGTAGGTCGTGGCCTGATTCACCGTAGCTGCTCTGTTTACAAGAGCGTTAGCCATTTTCAGATAATCTGCTCCAACACTGTCCCCTGTTAACGATGAGAGATGAAATTCCAATTTGCTTCTTCGCCCTTGCGGCGGAGCTCTTTGGTTTTTCTTTCTTTTTTTCTTTAGGATGGGATGTGTAGGTAGAGTATGAGAGAAGAAAAAAAAGGAAAATGACAAACTTTTTTGACCAAGTGGTTCATTGTAAAGTATTATTAGTACTAAATTGCAATTCCAATCTATATATTTCTCTTAAGTCATTTTCTATGAAGTATAATCTATATCTTCTATATTATTATAAAAGCATGAATACAATGTCGGTTTACAAAAATAACCTTATAATGTTAAGCATAATAACTCACAATAAAAGGATATAAATGGAATTCTAGATATTAGCCTTGTAATCCAATTAGTTTTAAGACATAATACTACACGTTAGGAATCCTACATGATTACCTTTTGGAATCCTATTAGTATAATTACTTTCATCTGTCTAATTCATATAAAATTAAACAAGTAAATATCTTTAATCATGTAACAGCCTTAAAAATATTATTAATGTTGGATAAAATTGTAATCTTTAAAGTTTTGATAATAATAGGACTTGAAATCAACTAAAATTCTCTACATTTTGTAACCATGTATGGTGCCCACGTAATATTAAGAATTAACTTCTATGAACCTTCAATCCTACCAGGACTAAATATGTTATTCGTTTCTTTTATTCACCCAAAACAAATTGGGTTAAAGAATTATATGAAACCTAATATCGTTCTTATCAAATTATTCTTATATAATCCAAGGAAAAATCTTTTCTATCTTCACAAATCAAAAAATTCAAATTTGTTACTATTTGGTTATTGTAAGTATTTCTATTTAGAGTCGACTACTTAAGATTCTTGCTTTTACGGGACGTAATGTCAAGCCCACCTAATAATTTGAATTTTTAAAATTTACATAATATACGTTTGGAATCCTATATTATTACCTTTAGTAATCCTATTAGTATAATTCTAATACTTTTAGCCAAGTAATCCTATTACTTTTAGAATATACTTCTTAAAAAATTTCTATTACAAATTTAATTTAAAAACGTATTATATTGTCCTATTATTAATTTAATTTGAGAATATATATTGTCCAAATTCATTTAGAAAAAGATATACATTTACTTTTAGTATATATTTCTTAAAAATTTCTATTACTAATTTAATTTGAAGACGTCTTATATTATCTTATTACTAATTTAATTTGAGAATGTATTATATTGTCGAAATCCATTTAGAAAAAAGGAGAGCCTATATTATTATAAAAGTATAAACACAATATTAATATACCAAAACAGCCCTAAAATATTAAACGGAAGAACTCATAGGGAAAGGGCATAACTGCAATAACTTATTTATTAGACTATAATACGTTCTATGCTAATTTTTAATATTTAATATTTTAAAATTAACAAAAATTTGTCTATTAAATTCTTATTAAAAATGTGTAGGAAGGTTTAATAAAATCAATTTCATTAGAATCCTCCCCATTGGCAATACATTACCACTCCATAATGTCCAATACCAAAAAAAAAAGAAATATTAAATGGACTGCATAAAGAGTTGAAATTGAGAAAAAAATACACCCCACAATAATATATTTTATATTATATTTGAATTATTTTTCTATTCAAATAATATTTTTTAATCAATTTTTCGTGTAACTTAAAAAACTACCCAATTATTAAACAACAACTAAGAAAATATTTAAGAATATAATGTGCGAGAAAGAGAAAAAAAAATGGTAGGTAAGAGTCAATACCACTAATGATTCTACACACATAAAGATCTAAAAGTGAAATGTCATATCAATCTTTTACTCTTTGAAAATAAAATTTATGGTGGATAAAATTATAATTAAGATTAAACATTCAAAACAAGAGATGAACTAATTAAGATGCCAATCAACATAGAATAAATTATTTTTATGCTAAAATCAAATAATTAAATCTTTTAATTAATTATTTAGCAAAAGAATCCAATTCAATTATATTTTAAATTCACCATATGAGTAAAATTCTTATTCAAGTTAAAAAAAAAAAAATCTTAGGGTACATAAATCTATCCCATAAAAAGTGTGTTTGAACACAAAGTAAAAAGGTTAATATATTATTAAGAATCAAAATGCTATACAAGTGTCTGAGGAAGCACGATCAAAGCTAAATCCTAAACAAGAATAAGCTTTCAAGACCATATTATAAAGAGTTGACTCTGCTATAAGGGGATTATTCTTTGTAGGCCTCTGGCGGAATCGAAATAATATTTTTATGTCACGCATTACTTGAAAATATCATATCAAGAGACATGATATTGTTAGAAATAATAGCAAGTGGTGTACCAATAACGATTTTATTGTGAGGCCACCCACTTTAGATTTGATATACCTCTTCAAACAACTTAAATAACCATCACAAATATATCAAAGCGGAGCAATGGTGCAAATTTTTTAAGAAAAGTATAATTAATAATATGGGATGAAGCACTTGTGACTAAGTGTCAAATAGAGTTCTAGAGATATATTGGACATTAATGAACCGTTTAGTAAAAATTAATGATTTGGGAGGTAAATTATGTCAAGTACTACCAATAGTTCCAAAATCGACAAAAGCGTGGACTGTAAAATCTAGCTTGCCAAAGTTATACTTCTGGCCTCAAATAAAAAGATTCAACTGACAAGAAATAAAAAGTAAGAACAGATTCAATATTCGGTGTCTTCTTGCTTTGTGTGGGAAAAGAATAAGAGCATTCAATAAAAGATGATTTGGTTCTTCCTGAACACTTGGTTATCAATCCCAATGACAATAGTAGTGCATTTAATAAGAGAAATATTTCTATAGTTAGATTAAAAAGCAATTTGTGCAAACGCATGATGGAATTAAAAAGATATCTTAGCTAGCAGAAATGAATATGTTGATCAACTAAATAAAAGGTTGATTGCAAAATTTTATAGTAAAAACAAAATATTTTTTTGTTTTTTGCTCAGCAGAAAATGATACCAATAATTACTACCAAGAAGAATACTTAAATACTTTAATACCAAACGGCCTTCTACCATACATGATTGTGTCAAGTTTAGTTATTTACTTACGTACGTTAATGTCACCGTATATATAATAGACTAGATGATCTTCCATTGTATATAGGTTGATTTCGAAGAAAAATATGCCCGTCATGCTACTGAAAAACTTAAATACGCCGAATAACTTATGTAATAGCACACAAATACTATATAGAAGTTTTGACAATAACGTCATACATGCAAAAATTATGATACTGGTCAATTCGCTTCTAAGTATATTCTTATTCCTGAATTCAACTTTCGTCTCCCGAAACTAAGGAATATCCTTTTAAATTTGTGTGAAAATAAATTTTAGTATGTTTATGTTTTGTAAATATAATAAATAAAGTACAAGGACAAACATCTAAAATATTGGACTATATTTACCGCAATATGTTTTCTTGCACGGATAACTGTATGTTGCACTTTCAAGAGGGATATCAAGATCGACAGGTTAAGGCAGAGCAACCAAAGCATTAGGAGGAAACATACACAAAAAAATATTGTCCACAAAGAAGTGTTTTTTAAGATACCATCACATTAAATACTTTTAAATTATAATATAATTGTATATAACTGTCATGACAAAGTTGATCATTTATGTAAGTTTTGATGATGTCCTTTTATTTTAAATTCATGTATTATGCTAATGTAATAATATTTTTCGGCATTTAGATGATTGTTGTATTATTACACATAAAATTTCTCTCGTTAATTAATTTTTATTGTTCATTCATATAAATAAATGTTTAAATCATCATGTGTCATTATTAACGTGCAACGCACGTTCATAGATACTAGTTGGCTAAAACACACAAACCTATTCTTTTTATTCCCATTCTCTAGTTCTTAACATTGAATCCAAATAATATGCGCTTACGGAAAAAAATTGTACGAGTGCTTTCATCTAGACAAATGTTTATCATATCTTGTATCGTCACAAATAAACAAGCGAAATAAAATTGTCCGATCATATCAATATTCAATATAATTAAAATTGGTTTCATTAAGTTGTGTAATGACTATGGCATCTGAGCCATTTCCTCGGTTGGCATTAGGGGTGTATAAAGAAAACCTATAAACCACACTAAATCGATAATTCGAGTTAAATAGGGTAAAAAAATCAATTGTGATTTGGTTTGATTTGGTTTAGTATTGGAAAAAAAACGACCATAATTGGTTTGGTTTGGTTTTAACTAAAAAAGACAAACCGAAATCAAACCAACCGATAGTACATTTATATAATTTTTAAAACATTTTGTACATATAAATATTTATTGTAATGTAATTTATAAATATTTCTTAAACTTTTTCACATATTTATATTTTAATGTATTTCAAGTTTGGACTTAACATTCTCGAATGGTAAATAAATTTTATAACTCATAAATGTAGTAACTCAAACAAAGTTCAAATTAATACTAGTGCTAACAAAAGAGATTCAATTCAACACTAGGAATAATGATAGTGTTGGATATCTATTTTTTAGTTTTGTGTTGGTTTATAATGAAAATATATAACTTAGTTTATCTTTTTCTTTAGTGCTTAGTTATGTAACTAATAGTATTTATTTTAGCATGACCTATATAATATTTTTAGATTATATTAATTTTTATTGTGGCTTATTAATTAGTAATATTTGATTTATGCAATTTTATTATTTTTATTATTGAATATTTTAGTATAATGCTACGATTTATCTCATATTATTGTGTTATTTTCTTGAAAAATACATTATATAATTGTATCTTACTAGAGCTAAAGAAATATTTGGAGCACAAGTTACATATTTTGTGCTATGAAGACTTTATCGGGAAAAAAAACCAGAAAACCCAGAAAAATCGAAAACCCGAGAAAAAGCAAGATTGAAAAAACTGACTTTGTTGGTTTAGTTTGGTTTGGTTTATAAATTTAAAAATACGACACTATTAATTTGATTTGATAATTGAAAAATCCGAACCAACTCGAGTTATATACCCCTAGTTGGCATGCATCTTTTTTTGAAAGGAAGAGAAAATTTGAGAAAGAAAGATAAAAGATAAGTCACTTGCTGAGCTTCTTTTCATTCAGTTGGATTTTT